CCATTTTTCAAAATGGACAAAATCTCATTAGCACAATAAGAATTAAAAACATGCTGGAATACCACAAATTTCAAAGTATAGTATTTGAGCCACCACACTTTTACCATAGACATAGAATGCTTTATGATTCTAAATAGAAATTTGAATATTTAAAGATATTATTTTTCTTTGTTAACAGCTCAAAAAGACTTTGAGACCTTCACCTTCCTCAAGATGACCTTGGTTTTGGACAGACATAACTTTGCTACGGACCTCCAAGCAGCAACTCAGCTAAGCTCTCTTCTCTCTCTCTTTTCTTTTCTCTTTTTTCTTTTTTAATACAATATAACTGTCCCTCTCTGGGACTTCTAGGAGCATGACAAGAATAATTTTTTCACACTTTAAAAACGAGTAAAAGAACAAATGATAAAAAGTTCATCACATTTGTTACTCCTTTTAGAATAAAATTCTAAAGATCTCATAAATTGAGCTAAAGAAAACAATTTATGACTGCCACTGAAAAGAAACAGCTTGAACAAAATGGTTTAAGACTACAGCCCACATTCTGGCTATTCTTTGAAGTATCAAACCTTCCAATTCCAGAAGAGGTTACACAGACCACAGAACAAGGTTCCTCAATGAATTATTTGGCAGGAGACAGTAGTAACAAACTGAAGTAGGGAGCTGCTGACTGTACACAAGAGGGAAAAAAACCCCAAACAGACAAACCTGGGAGAACAATGAAGTCTCAGAACAGGTATTCCCATGAGGCTGTTGCATCTCAAGACTCAAGTGGACAAAACCCTAAGCGAGCTGGTCTGAACTGAGTGTTGACACTGTTCTCTGCACAAGCTTGGACTAGATGATGTCCTGAGATCATTTACAACTGGCATTATTTTGATTGACCTGGCTACCCAGATTTTTTTTTCCTTCTTGTACACTTGGCATGAGATTAAGATAAGGATAAAATACCACAGCAAAAACCTCTTTTATGAAAGTGGCAGGATGTGGTTTAAGCACAAGATTAAGATGCATAACATATTTGTTTTTATCTGTCAGGAGGCGATTAACATGCAAAGTAGAATTTATCGCAAGTTATTGTATAGACAAGTCTTTTCCTCAGCAAACAATTAAAAAAAAGATTTTTGCCATAAACCAACAAATCTTCCTACAAATACTTCTGACAGTGCCTTGCTAAGAAAACTTACGGTGTAACAGACATGAAATTTTGCTGTATGAATAAGAGCTTTTGCTACATATCCTACTAAACACCACAAGCACCAACAAACTTCTCAGATGTACAAAATGGACTTCTAACATTTTTGGATATTTTACTGATCCTGATGCCAGCAATTATTAATCAAGGGAGACCAATGAACTGCCTCAGAAAAACAAACCATTTTAAACAATGACTTATTTTATTATAAAGATTTAAAGTTTCAAACAATTCAAAAAAGAAAACACCGTTTTTCCCTTAATTTAACATATATGAGTACAACACAGTAAGTTAATGCTTGTGGAGTTAAAGATACTATGCTACAGTGGATTTAGTGTAGTTATATTTTCCTTAAGAGGTGAGGAACAGCTGCTAAGTTAAGGTCCAAAAAAAATATTATTTTTAACATTTGGCAAAGGTATATAGATCTCTGTACAGACATTTCAAAATGTATGTTGGAAATAAATATGAAATGTCAATATTTAGCTTTATTCCAGATCTTTAATGAAATTACTGCTTCTGTGGAATATTCTAAATATGTATTACAACTTCCATCGCACAGACTGGAAAACTGGAGGGGGTAAAAAAAAAGGTTTATTAGTAAGTATAAGATGAAGCAGCAACTAACCAGGTTGCCCCACTGGCCATATTTCAGCATGTTTCCTGTGACATCATTCACAGAAATCAATTAAAAAAAAAAGCCAAAACATAAAGCCTTTTCTCTCTGGGTTCTGGTAACATTGACCTTCAGACAAAATTCATTAATCTGTTCTGAGTTTATTTCACAGACAGCTAGAACATTAGCCTAAAAATTGCAATATATGTACACAGTCATGAAAAAAGCATACTGCACGTGCAAGAACATATATGTAAAGCAATAAGATCAGTATTTAGAATTACTTGTCCTTCATGTGTCCTATTATATTTATGTAATAACATCCCAGTCCTAAAATGGTCATTAAAGCAGTTGGCATTTAATCTACAGACCTATATGAGGGTTTTATTTTTATATAAGGATTTTATGTGACTTTTTATTTTTGCTCATTGGCTTTAAGACAACATAAAATGATTATTTTTTTTTAACTGAAAATAATTATCTTATCTTTAAATTGCAGTCATATACCCCTGTCCTACTAGGTGTTTGGAACATGCATATCCAGATGAGGACAGCTAACAAAGAAGTTAACAAGTTTCCCCTTTCTACCAGTGACAGGGCAAACTGCTTTTTAATGCTTTAGCTAGTCAAGGTGAACCTGAGGCTACTCATCAGAATTCATTTCAACTTCCTGACACATGAAAATAACCTCTGCCCCGGTTATTCTTCACGAGTACAACCATGACTGCTTCACTGACTACAAGCCATAGCAATTTATGTGGGCATGGACCTGCCCTGAGGCAGGTTTAAAATTAGCTAATGTGTTATTTTGGACTTTGTTTTTAAATACATCTAATCTCAGTCAAAACACACCATATTAAAATCTTCTATGCCACATGCTCACTATAATTTTTTGCCAGAGAGTTACACTAGTAAAAGGTATATTGAGTAATGATCCTGGACTCACATAGCTATATACACGAGCAAAAGCCCACCAGTATAGTGGCTCCTACACCAGCAAAACTACCTCTGCAAGCAGTTCTTTTGCTGGCGCTGAGAAAAAGCAGGTACTTCCCTGAAATAGGCTTAGCTCAAGTTGTCCAACATACGAAGAGGCACCAGATGCCATCCTAAGGCAGCCATGCACATGAAGCAGTCAAACCTGACCTAGGAAACCCCCTTACACTCTAATGTATCTGTTCTTCTCTCAGTTCACCTAAAATCAAAATACATTTTAATAAAAGTGATCTTGCCAACCAGGATCACAGAAGTCATAGACATTCCATAGCCCAATCTCGCCCCCAAAATCAAGAAATTAATTCTAAGTGGTATTCATAATTTGGGGGATTCTTTCTATTTCTCAGCTTTTAAGGATGCACTTGCCAGAAACACAACAGATGTAAACTTTTTTTAATGTGAATCCTGAGAATGTAATTTAATCTGACTGTAGCAGCTAGACATGCATGAAAAACAAACATTGCAAGACTTCCAGTGATCTCAAGTACTGGCAGCAATGCTATAAGAAAAGCTGTATTTGAGAAGTGTTTAGATGGACAAAAATTCCAGAAGTGTTTAGAAGGACAAAAATTTATTCGCAGTCAAAATAAATATGCCAAAGATTATTTTCTTGAGGAGAACAAAGACCATCAAAGTTGATATCTGTGTCAAACAACAGTGGCAAAAAAAAAAATATAAAAAAAGCACTTAGTGAGCAAGTGTGGTATAACAGTAGTGTCACTTACTGCGAGGCCTTTCTCCTTAATGGATTTAATAGCTAGTGAGGTATAAATTAATTATTAGTATAGTCCTGAAAACCATATCTTGACAAAATTAAAAGAATCCTATTTCAACATTTCTAATGGAGAGGGAAAATATGAAAAAGCGGAAGGAAAAAGTTCTAGAAAAAAATAAGTCAGGAGTAATTAAATATTCTACTGTGCGGTTTGGGTTTCTTTTTTCCTCCACAAAAACTACTTAAGTTTTTGTCTACTCTTTCTGCAATTTAAAAGGGAGCAAAATTGATTCAGATGTCTAATAGCTTCCAAACAACCAGAAGCTATTAATTTTTCAATTGCTTGTTACATAAACAAATTTGCTATAAAAATCAGAACTTAAAAAACCCAACTGAAAATGCAACTGAAGCTTCAGAATATTTTATTATGAAATTAAGGGAACCCTTAAGGGAATTGTTTGGTAGCTTTAATACGATCTGTCTCACAGGAAATATGATACTACAGCTTTACAGAAGATGAACACTTATTTTTTAAATATTTATACATTTATATTAATATCATCCATATATACCATGACGCATTTCAATAATTATTCTACAATACAATGGGAGTGCATGCTCAAACAAAACACCTCAGCAGTATTTTAAAGCAGTAAACCACCTAGCCAATTTCTGTACGTTCTGTAGTTTTTCTAATCCACTCTCCCTGTGGTTGAGCAAAATCGAATTGCCTCTCACATTTGCAGACAGCTCTGTGAAGGTGATAATAGAGCTGCTCCCTGCTGTCATGAGGCAGGAAATAGGAAAATGGCATATGGGGCTAGAAAGAAATAAAAAGAGAACTAAACAAGAACAAAAGAGATTTCAACAAAGGACAACTATAACCCAATATGCTTTGCAAGTTAATCTCTTTTCATAATCATTTAACATACTTAATCATTTATCCGCATGCTTCTCGAAAACTCAAATGCTTGATACCAAGCCTTCTGCAAAGTTTTATTGCCCAAAACATTTGGAATAGAAACGATACTAAAAGTCATCGTATGCGACGCCTATAAATCGATGCCACCCTAGTACCCACGTTAAGGGGCTGAACCTACTCCAATCTGTTCGTAATTGGTCTTAGATTTTGTGGCTAAAATGTAATACCTGAAACAATGCATACTTGGATTATTAGTTGCAAACATGTTGAGTGACACACAAACAGCAAAATATTAAGGGAGGATTATGATTGGTTACATATACTGACAATATGAAAGACTTTCAGCCTGTTTAAGGACTACTGATGCAAGATACAGAACAAGCTAAAAATGATCTTTTCATTTACAAGGAGAATTCTTTTTTTATTTTTATTTTTTAATGCAGAGTGGGCCTCCAAAAAATTCAAGAACTTAAATGTAATTGCAGTGCTTCTATATTAAATCTTACTGAAGTTAAAAAAAAAAAAAAAAAAAAAAAAAAAAGCAAGCCTACTATACCTTTCCTTTTACACTCTGAATGGGATCCACCACCACAGCAACAGCTCTTTCTGATAAGGCTTCAAAGCTCTGCTGAGTATTGATATCTACACCAGACAACCAACAGCCAAAGCCAGGGTGACTATGATACCAACCAACTACCATCTCAGGTCTGAAACAAAGAGAACATTGAGATTCTTCAGAATAAAAACATGTAACAAGAAGAAATAGTAATGTATCAGGGCATAAATTAGGATGAGCTGTGAAAAAAACACCATTAGGAATATTTAAATTACTCACCATAGTATGGTGAAAACATGGACATGAATAAATGCGACAAAAGAGGGCTATCATTAAGGGATGCACATTAGCAGTGGTAGATCATGCTTTCAGTTTTTCACCCTGTTACCACACCTTCACTGAAGCAGTTTTTACCCTTTCAGCACTTGAGTAAATATCTACTCTTTAACTCCTTGGCGTCGAGGGTTGAATTTTCACGGCAGAAAGTCCATTTCAGACATGGACAACGGGAACCAACGGTGGGAAAGGATTAAATATCAATTAAACCAGCAGTAGAACTAGGAACTCAGTCAAAAAGCAATTTGCACTGTTCTGTTCAGCTGCTGAGCCTTTTGCTAACATTAATTTTGAAGTTTTTCCCACAGTAAAAGAATTTGAGCAAGCAGACGACAACTGTTGAGAGGTAGGAGTGAAATCAAAATTTGTTTAAATACTAGGATCTTTTACAAAATTATTTTCCCTTTTCATTAAAATTGCTCATAAATAAGCTATAACTGTGTAATTTTTTTTATCTTAAGTAAAAGAAATTTTTAAAAAAATCAATTTTTTAAGCAGGTACTGTCTAGTAACTGCCTATACTAAATGGAGCAGCATTCTAATCTTTCTGTGCAATAATCAAGCTGTAGGTTTAACATCAGTGACGATCTCCTGACAATTGAAATGCATGAGGTGGACTGAATTACGTGCCATGCTACTCACCTGATTTCTGGGCCAATTATTTCTTTTTAAAGATTATTAATAGCCCCAAGATCACTAGTTTTACGGAAAGCCAGCTGTTTCTTCTAAATAACATGCAGGGATCACTTGTTACTGTCAGCCCTCCTTAGGGTGACTTACCTTCCCGTCTGTTTTAGCATATCCAACATTTTTGCTTGAAAAACAGGATCAACTGCCTCCACACTGACACCCTGATGTAGAAGACAGAGAAAAATCATAGTAGCTGTACATAAAGCAGTATTATCTTTTCATTTGTTACTTTCCGCAAACAAAAATTTAAACACCTTTCATACGCATCTGTTGGCAACCCGACTACTTTAGAACTACTTGATAGAACACCCTTAGATGTAAAATACAATTTTTATAAACGTATTTCAATGTGACTTTAAAATGCTGAAAGAAGATTTTGAATTGCTGTTTAAGTCATCGCTACTATGAGTAAACATGGCTAAATAGGCACAGGAATTAATCTTTTCCTCCTCCTTTTGTTCTGCAAACTCTGGCCTGTTGTTTCTCACAAGTTCAGCTCTACAGGTTTTACTCCAGACAAATATCACGTACTGCTTTTTGCAGATCCTATTTATACTACGCACATGCATAGAATAAACTCAGGACAAAAGAATTTAAAAAATCCATTGATGTGCAGCTCCAAGTTACAAAGGAATCCGTGTTTCTTTTAAGAACAGTATTTCATTTAAGTTACACAAAAAAAGGATCATAAATTTCAATTATACTCATTGGCTCATCATCTCTTTAAAATATCTCTCCATAACATGAATATTCTTACTCAAAATTAAAATACATCATTTTTTTCACATCACAAAAATATCATTTAACAGACATGCCACTGTAAGATCTGTCAAACAGAGCAAGTTTGAAGTATATATATCAACCTCACAATAAAGGGCATGATAGACTTCTAATCAAACCTTCTACATTTTGAATCCTTCCCCTGACTCATAGTATAAGAGTTCTTAAAGCAATCAATTCATAAATTTCATAAGCGATGTTATACCAATACATTCATACATACGTAAAGACATAAGATCTCCATATATTGACATACACATTCGCGTACTAGTCTTTGCTAAAACAAAAAAGAAATAAAATAAATCTGGTTTAACTATTTTTTTTTTTACCGAAAACCTTAAATCCACTAGACATGTTTGAATTATACCTAGTAGGTTATACCTTAACATTGCATAAATGTGGTAAAACGGAAAAAGCTTTAAAAAAAAACATTTACCATAAGGAAAAAACAAACAAGCAAACAATATTATCAAGGTCTAGGTGTAAAGAACTCACCGTTCCGGACTGTGGCATTGCAAAAACATCAATCACTCTCACAGTGTAATCATCAACAAATTCTCCGAGCATCAAACCCATAACTTCCATAGGGACACCAGCACGACCATGCTTCAACATCTGGAATTAAGACCAAACGACACTGTGTGTTTAAAAGGAGGTTCAAGTTTGACTTGGGATACTTCTTTCAGTCTTTGCTGATCTATAGATAATTTGCAACTTGTAGCACTTTTGCAAACTGTAAGGAGCCGTAAAATAGTAAAAATGGAGCCAGGAAACGAGAATTAAAATTAATTTCTTACTCTGAGTGTTCCAAACAGTATTAATTTATTTTAAAAATTAGTCTGTCTAGGACCTAAGGAGCACAAGTCCATAAAGTCTGGATAGGTGCCAGGCGCTCTATCTCCAGCACTATACACAGATGCAGTACACGCAGAACACTTACTTTCAGCAGTGCAAGGGAAGAGATATAAACCTGTTCCGCTGTATCGACGGCAGGAGCATCTGTTGGTGGCCCCTTTGAAAAGAAGAAATAATTATTTTCTCCACCATTATTATTTTGCAGTTTCTAAACATTTTATTTTGTTTTCCATATTACAAAACTTACAGAAAAAATGCATATATAATTCTGACTTTGTGTGTTAGATGCAGTTCTTACAAACAAAACAAAAAAGCACACCTAAACACCAAACACTTCCTTCACTAACCTATTTTGTAACACAAGTCACCTAGCCATCATCCTGTCTCCCCCACCCCATAACAATACAAATTTAAAGAGCAACCTTATCAGAATCCATCAAATAAAAAACCTGCAAGTATTGCACTGGGTACAAACCTGTTACAAGACACACAGGCTAAGAGTCAGAGAAGTTTCCATTAGTCAGCCTTGCCGCAATGCTAACCTTCGTCAGCTGCAAAATACGGCCAGTTCTCCAATTAACTATGTGTTTCTTACAGTGGTGTGAATGTAAATGCTGCTGGGCTAGCATGATTAACTGGCACCAACACAAACAGCAATTTCCCTTTGCTTCATCAGCTTTCAGCTAAAGAGGACTTGCAGATAAAGGCTATGGGAGTACTTTGCAGATACACTGGTACAGTGAGAGAAAAAATGGACCTCCGATCCCTAGGTGGAAAAGCTGTGAACAAAATACTTTGCTCTTTGCCTTATGAGTAGTTATTCAAAAATTAGCACAACTGTCCCAGGTGTGAATGATTGGTTGAAACAGGTTCTGTGTACTGTTGAAAATGAAAAACACAGGAGGCAGCAGTTTAAATGTCCCTTTCTCGAGGAGCAAGAGACATATTGCTCTTATATGCAGAATTCTGTATCAGCGTACCTCATTACAGCCAATTAACAGTATATTCATTACTTTATTACCAAGTTGTGTACAACAAATTTCCACTGAAAAGACAAAAGGTTACTACTGCACTACGTGACGTAAACTTAGAAGGGCAACAAAGCAACTATGGAGTAAGGTAAAAAAAAAATAAAATACCCCACATTAACTTAAAGGAGGAAAAAAATGGTGCCTTTACATAAACATTTTGTAGACTTAGAACTTTGATTCCACAGTTATAAGCGAAATTGGGCAAAATAAAAGCTTGGAGTAAATTTCTGATTTTTCACTTTAAGTGGAAAAATTCAGTACAATGTGTGTCCACATGACATCAAACAGAAGAGACAGCCATTGACACAAGCCATCACCCCCTGAAGACAAAACCATGAACTTAAGTAAACAGCATGAATTTGTATAGCAACTGTCCTTTCTGCATACTTTCGCTTTTACACATACAGAAAAACATAATCTAGTCTTCAGAACGCTTTAAAGACTGTAAGAAAATTCAGTCGTCCAACCCCCCCAATCTCAATTAATTCCTTCTCTATTAGCTCCAGATCCAATCCTTGTATTTTGAATCCAATCTCTACATTTGAAAACTCACATACACGCATGGATCTGTGTCAACCACAACTGCTTCCTAACACCTTCAAACCTTTTCCAGCTTTGGTACTGCTGACCATCATGTTTTGATATTTGCTCTCCCTCACCTTTTACTACCCATTGCTGATTCTTCTTACGCTTTGGCCTTTCCACCAGTAATCTTCCAGCAGGTTTTCCTTTTCACCTTCTATAATATTCTCACCAAAGGTCATTTTTAATCAATTCCATCTCTTCATCAAGTATTTCCCTCACTACCCCTAACACAATAGTTGACATGCTCCAGTTGGAGAAGTGTTCCTCCAACACTTAGGATGAGAAACTCTGAGAGCAGTTCTTCAGAACCTTTCCCAGAACCAGCTGCACAGGGCACCTGAATCACTTATTCCAATTTTACTACAACTAAATTGTTTGACTGATGAAGCTTCAAATGCCCAATCGTTTTCCGATACTGTTACTATATTTTTTTTCCTCCATAAACATGTAAGTTCACTTTCTTAACTATATCGCTCCTGCTTGATTTTAAGTCTATTCTAAATGATCTTTTTTCCCCACTTAGAAGTCTTAATACTTTGGAAAGCACAAAGACTCATATTTCCACTTAATCATTGCTAAGGACTGAAGCAGAAATGAGTTGGGGTTTAACTAAAAAAAAACCCCACAAAACAGCTTATGAGTTGGATAACAACCCCCTTCTTCATACATAAAGCTCTCTTCCAATTTTTTACCAGTTCTAGACCAAAAAGGGTCTGAAACAAGGGCAAGAGCACAAACACAGTAACCTTCTGCTTTAGGAAGAACCATAACATCCATACTGTAACCATCATACACATCTATATTTGTCCCAGAATTTGTTTAACATTTCACTGCAAGCAAGCACACCATTACACCTTTCAGGTTTTGGGTTTTTTTTTTAGATAAAGAATAGCATTAAAAAAATCTCCCCCAAACTAGCATAAGTAGTTTTGTGATTTCTGGAAGGCTAATGGTGATGTTTGATTGAGACTAGCTTCTCAAAAATCAGGAGCTTGAACTGAGGTTTATTCCACAGACTATGGCTCTTAAATAGCCTCTTCCATATGGAATCTGTAACGTCTGTTAAGATGGCAGATCACACTGACACCCTTCCTGCAGCCCAGGCATTAATCACATCTCTGTCCCCTGTGTAGGCAACTGTGTTCACAACTTCTAAGAGTTTAATTATTCTTCATAACTTTTCCTATTTTAAAATCAGTCAGTAGATTCAACGCTATAGGGAGGAGACAAACATTATTACATTTTGTCTCTGTAACAAGGCAACTAGATTACCTTTAGTTTAAGTGAAAGGTGCCCATTCCTATTCTTTCCTTCTTTGATTATTTCTATACTTCTTGGAGCTTTCAAATGCTTGTTTCCCTTGGTGAGAAGAGGGATTATACTTTATCAATCCTTTAGGCATTAAAGTTCTCTCTCCAGCTGCCAGCACCCATAGCCAACAACTCATTCTCAGCACAGGAAATATTGCTAATTCATAAAGAAATGCTACGTTGGTGTAAATCAACTTGCTTAGCATGTTTTCTTTTTTGAGCCATAGTCTTCACTGTGAATGATGTTGCACACTAAATGTGAGTTTAAATAGATATAAAAGTGATTACACTAAGTGCTGGGAGATATCAACTGCAAACTTCACTATTTCACTTTAAGCACATGCCCAAGATAGCAAAAATATTGAAGATTAGCTTCCACTCTTCTCACACAGTTCAACCAATTTACCCAAATACTTAAAAATTAGCTATTGTAGTATACAATACAAATATAACGTAGGTTTACTAATTCGCAGTCGTCCTAGAAAATACAGCACATACCAAGTATTTCCTTGGTCACAGACACTTCTTTTGTGAAGACCTCACTATCTCCTTTTCAGTCAGCTCTGTTCTCCTTATAGATTACAATTACTAACTATATTACGAGAAAAGGAAACAACTCATTGCACTGTACCAATTATGTGTATTAATTTTCATGTCAATATTCCTTTGTTTTGAATATAGGTTAGAATGAACTGCTCAATAGAGTTCTGAAATTATTCTGATGTACCAATGCTAGAATTTTGAGGAGGAAAGGATCCATAGGTCAAAACCTGTCCAGAATCTACCTTCACCACAGATTTAATTTCACATTACTTTTCTACCAAAGAAAAATTGGTACATAACATACTATAGCTGTACACTTGTCTTTCTACAGAAAATTATAAACCCAAAGTTCAAATTCTTAACTTAAAACTTTTAAAGTTCCAACAGAATAGATCTTGGGTCTTTGAAGGAGTTTACTTGGCTTTAGGTGATGCCATTTAAAAAAAATAGACATTTGGAAACTGGAACCAATCTACTTCCATCTCAGACCACATCCTTTTCCATAAATGGCTGATAACCTAAGAGAGCCTTGGAGCGACAGCCGCAGCTTCTGTGTGTGAGTTACACAGTATGTGGGAGCTAGCTACGGGTTACATGTTTTGAGATTTCTTTGGCCTGTTTCTGCTAGTCTTCCACAGAAGTTCATGCATTTCTTTCATGAAGCAAAGAGGAAGAAAGACTTTATTAGCCAATCTCTACATGGAGGCAAAGTATTTTACACTGACCCTCCACAGCATGTGCTATTATCACTGTTCATAAACTTCACTGCCTGCCAACTTTAACAAAGGAGCACCATCCTTATGAAGCAGAGTACCAAATTAAATTAACTGGTGTCAGAAACACAAACAAGAAAGCATTTGTATTTGCAACGCAAAAGATCTGCTGGTACTTTTGGTTACATTATGGTATTCAAAGAAGGTCAGACAGTTCTCCCACTGCACAGAGTTTTGTAAGACTGTCCATCTCACTGCAAAACAACGAATATTGTTGTCATGCTGCCTGCCTACAGATTTATTGGATAACTTCTTGGGGAACCGGAGAAGAAATGAATTTGGAAACTGCAAGGAATAATGAACATTCTTTTTCCCAGGGATTCCTGTATAAGCTGGATACAGTAATTATTAAAATCCAAAAACTGTTCTAAAAAATACCATTATTGTGCTACTTACTGAAAATGGATGTTTCTTCTGAAGCAACTATACATGCTGTCAGTCAGTGAAATGAGCTGCTTGATGGCCAGCCATCTCGTAAAACCCAACCAAACTCTGATTTTGTTTAGAATATTAGAATCCCAATTTCAATAATAATTGATAAAATTAAGTTACCACTATTAAAACAAATGTTATTTTTGCTTATTTTTTTTTCAGTAGTACTTGCAATGGAAAAAAAAAAATCACGTTCAAGTTATGAACAGAAGATTACATTGCAATATTAAATTATGCATGATACTATTTTTGTTTCAAACCGTTGAAAAGATGATCCAATATAAAAAGCAGCCCTTTACTTGGGCAGCCCTTGTTGATGAAGTGTTAAAGGCATTTGCCATTCTAACAGGATAAAAACTAACGCCTTGAAGTGTTAGCTACTCAGGCCTTTTAGCAAATTTGTTAACACTTTTAGGTATATTACTCCACCTTTCTCTTAGTGTGAACTGGTATCAATTATTTAGCCAATTTTATTATGTTATT